CCCCAAAACCCCAAAACCCCAAAACCCCTAATTGATCCAATAAGATTGAACTATGAATTTAAATTTTCATTAGAAACTTCCTTGAGGTCATTCTGATTATTCTCTTCTTCTAAATATTTATCAGCAATTGTACCTTCCAGGTTGATTATCGCTAAGATGTCAGGCTCACAAGTGATTTTAGCACCTAAGCTTTCCATTAAAAGATTGAATTGTTGATATGGCTCAGTCCTATCAGATGATTTGAGAATCATACCTGTACTTCGAATTGATCAGGACACTTTCTTTGTCAAAATGCTGCTTGAATCTTGACGGTGACTTAGTCACAAAGATTCTTTCCTCGGTTACAACTATATTTAAAAACAATGTTTTATACTTTGTTCCCCATCATCAACGATTTTGTTATTTCCGAATCTTGTGAGGACAGACAATCGAGTCGAACCCGAAATGGAGAAGGATTCTATGAAGATTCTTCATCATTGGATCATTGTAAAACTTCAGTACTTTCTCCTCCTTGGGCTCGCTCAATGAATCGCTCATAAAGATCTTCGGCCCTGATGGAATTTTGATCTCCTTTTCTACTTTCTTCTTCTGAGGTGTTCTTTGGTTCCCTTTTTGACTGGAGGGAGAACGAGTCTTTATGATTTCAGTTAGGTCTTGGCTAAATTCTAAAATGGTCCTCTCATTTTCTTCAAGTTTCTCCTTCAGTGTATCAAACAGCTGGATTAGGATATAGGCATCAACTGCAGCGTAGTGCATTTGGGACTTTCTCAGAGGTCTTCTTTCCCAATTTGATATTTGTTCTCCCTTACAAATTTTCTTATGTAGCAACGACTCTGCTATATCGCTTAATTTGGAAGATTTTTGGTTGCTATAGTTCTTGAAAACAGTGCTGATGTCATAAAAATTGTGGATTCTTTGCCAAAATCCTTCTTGAATCTTCTCCTCTTCTTCCTATAAAGTTATTCTGATTGATTACTGTAATATTAGTAGGGCCTCTAATCCTCAGTCCAATTTCTTTCATATCATTTCTAAAGTCCATCCCGACGATGGTAGTCTCACTTGTAAATATTTTAGTAAGAATTTGGTCAAGTTTTGCAGAATCTTTGAGGGCAATGATATCTATCAGGAATACTACTTCTCGGCTAGCAATCTGAATCAAAGCAACTCCTTTCGCATCAAAGCGAGTAATGGGTGGTCGCCATTCTCAGTCTATTCCAAGTATTTCCGCTGACTCTAGGATGTCCTTTGGAGATCTACTCTCATTAATATCTATGGGAAACTCTAAAGAGGTAGGTAAGCCAAACTTATGGTTGAAGAAGCTTACCAAGCTGACTTTCATGATCTATTATCATAGTTTTGACCCTGCTTGGGAGTCTCATAAGATCCTCTTGGTCTCAGTCCTATGTAAGGTATTAGAAGAGAACCTACATCAGTAGATATTGGTGCGAATTCATCTTTAATTCAGTCAATTTCCAGATCCTTTTTAGTGATTTTTACACTCTCAATTTTCTCATATGCCTCTTCATCAAGGAATTGTTTACTCTTTAAAAAGGGTTAGATAATGTTCATACCTCAATTCCGTTTCTTATCATCAGAGCCTTTGCTGCACGGTGATATTTTGTATTATCTACAGCTCTTGATTTTAGAACTTACACTTATTTAGTCAATTGCTCTACTAATTTTCAAATCATTGGCTGAGCACACTGATTTTCAGGTATATTCTCTTGTAAAATCGAAGATTTGGAGGCGTTGTCAGTTTCAAGTAAGAGATCTTCAACTTGCCAAAGAGCTAATTCGCCTTTAAAATATCGAGTCAGATAGTATCTCAGTGCGTTCATCTGGAGATAATCTATCACTTGAGGATATTCTTTGATATCTTTACCGAAATTTTCAATCATATTTGCTGCATACTTGGCAAGCATTGGAGTTGACAACTCTCGAATGCAAGTATCAGCAAGCTCTTGCTTGTATCTTACCAATGTAGTCAGTTGAGAGAGATAATTTTGGGCTTTGCTCCTAATGACTTCCCCAATGAAGTTTTCCCAGTCAATTTCAAGGTCGAACAAGTCGAATTTATAGACTAGTTCTATCAATTTTGGATACTCTTCTCTTTCATTTTCTAATGTTCTTCAATACGCAGGAAGTTCATCTATAAATTATATTGCTCACTCTTATTGATAAAACTTGGCTTACCTATAATGTAGAACTGAGCTGCAGAGTTGATGAATAACTTCAGGGTATAGACATCAAGGCTCTTCCATCATATATCGATGAATCTCTTAGTATCCTCTTGCAGATCATCGATTTTTAAGTAAGTTCTCAGTAGCACAATCGAGTCTAGGAGAAGACCTAGCTTGTCCTTAGGGAGTTCTCCAAAGAAGTATTTCCCCATCAAGATGTTGACCACAAAAACTATATAAGAGTCATATGGATGATCTTCTTTGTGTGCGTCAAAGTATTCTTTAACTTCTTCATCATTTTCTAGTTGAAGACACTTGAATACAATGTGTTCCTCCAGAATATCAGGAATGTCCGTGAAATAATCCTCAATGGTATCTAAAGGGTCAATTTTTAACATACCTTTGATAAGTTGTAGTTTGCTTTGAATCTTCATTGGTGAAAGCGAACCAAATTCTTTTTCTACTTGCTCCATATATCCAAGATTCTATATTTTTGCTTAATTTTGGGGTTTTGGGGTTTTGGGGTTTTGGGG